TTGCCCTACTCCATTGTAACCTTTTCGGTACTGGGATCAATCCAATGACAGGTGCAAAGTTATATAAGTCTATTGTTTTGCCTAGAAGCCTTTTTGGCTGTGAACTTTGGTTTTCTCGAACAGAAACTTACCTCACCTCAATAGACCTTGAGGTTGAATTAGCCAAACTTCGCTTTTTTGCTGCTTTATGTAGACTAGATGCACGATTTACTGTAAAGAGAGATTTTATGTTTCGTCTTTTTCACACATATTTTGATTTTTTCAAGTTTGAAAAGGTTTTGTTTCAGATGTTTGGAAAATCTTCCATAAATATGAATTACATGATGTATTGTTGGCCTTCTTACAAAAAGGACTGTTTCCTCCTACACAATCATGGACACGTCTAACGAATGGTGTTCTAATTCGTAATTACACTTATGAGTGGAGGCAGCGCCTCCTTCTCAGCGGAGACTTTTCTAGATTTATGTATCTGCAATGTGATATCTGTCCTTCGACTATTTGGTTTTTATCTAAACGTTTTCCCTACTTTTGTAGAACATGCGCTAATGTTGCTAAGCTCTAGATTATTTCTCCAGATTGTGAATTAGTATGTGCACAACGCAAAGTGCTTGTAGCCGATGCAGTTGCACATTGTATCTTGGACTGCTCTGGCGAAGAAGTGTTAGCTTTACACGATAACATCTTCTCCAAAATTGTCAACGACTACCCTGTTCATGCTTACGTTGCACTGGACCAGGCGAGTCGGGATATTCAAATAGCAACGTTCCTTGGCTCTTCTCCTGAACTTTTTCGAGACCTTTTTGGAGAAGGCGACGATCTTTTCTTGTCTTTTGTACGAGACTGTTGCAGTTTTGCAGAGAAAGCTTCTGCTCCTACTGTCCAATAATACATGTGTTCCTGTAAATTACCTTTTTGTATTATACTGGTTGAAGGCTATGCAATCGTTAAATGTAAGTTTGCATCATTCAATCAGCTTATTTTTTCAGTCATTATCCTTTATTTTGTAACTGTATTAATTTTCTGATATCTATTGTTTATTTAAAATATGTATTTCATATTACTCTTCATGTTTGAAGGAATAAAGATATGAATGAAAAGCATATTCTAAAACTGGTAAAATTAATGATTTGTTATTTTTGAAAAGACTTTTCCTAATTAGCAAATATTTAAATCTTCGTATTACGTTAATTTTTTCATAACAGAACTATAAATGGCATTATGGTTTATGTAGAATATTAAATAAAAAAAAATACTTAGTTAACTAGAGAATTGATATTATTCATAGAAAAAGTCGGGTTTTACTTGTTAATAATCAGACTAAAAGGATTTCCAAGAATTCTCTTCTTACCCTCCCCCTCCTTCGGCGCTACGCGCCTCTGACGCTCGACCCTCTGTAAGGGTACCTCTGTAAGGGTACCTCTGTAAGCATTCACTCCGGAAAGGAAATGATTTGTTACGCCACTGGCAACAACAGGGAGGGTCTGTCCCCTAAACAGGAAAACATGAAATTCAGAAGCTCTGTGGTGCTATGACAGCAGTGTTTGAGTGTTTAATTCAATATTTTGTATTTAAGTCTTTTTTTCTTTTGATGTTTTCTTTCTGTTTTTGAATTTTTGAGAAAAAAATAAATATAGTGGCCAAAAAAGCAAATGTGATAATTTTTTTAAACCGCACTAACTTAAACATTAAAAACACTATCTAGGACCACACACAAAAAGGGAAAATTAGATAGGTCTAGTATTGTTTTGCATGCAACTTCTTATTTACTTCAATTACAAATAATTTACCGAGGTCAAGGAAACAATAAATTAAAGTAAAAACTGATTTAGTGGGAAAGACAAAAATCGGAGATGACATTTGTTCTGGTTGAAAAAAGTGAACATGCGAAAAAATTGGGGAAAAAACAAGTGTTACTATATTTTCCATTCATGTCGATGGATGCTTCTGCGTTCTAAATTATAGCCTCAATGTTTTTAATGAATTGTGATTTTTTAATTTCCCATTAATTAATTACAGAACGGGTTGTTCTTCGCGCACCTGCCGTAAAATTGCTATCGCACATAACACTACAGCAGTCTAGCGCCACACTAATCCGTGACGTCACAATTCTTCCAGACGTAGGCCCTGCAAACGGTATAAACGGAAACTTGAAACTGTTGTGTTCGTTGTTTTTTTGGAAAGAGTAAAGTGTATACTATGTTTACACATGTACATATATCAGTTATATCTCTGCCTTAGGTTAATACAATGTTAATGGTTACCTTGACACAATTTAGCTGGAAACGTTTAGCCTAATGGGTGTGTGAAAATATATGCATACTTAATCTTGAAGTATCTATGTGACGTCACAGTACGGGGACTTGCAACGACGAGGAAGGTGAACGTGTTACTTTGATTTACTTATTCTACCGACTGCTGAAAACATCCAACTCTTCGATAAGACGGAAAAAGAAGTCAGGACGCTCCTGGATAGCGACAGGGCGTTAAAGCACACATCGACGTTGTGGCTTAAACAACAACCCACGAGTTTATGTTTTAGGTGCATCTGCGAAGTTGAACTCGTCGCCATATTTATCGTTTCATGAACATTATGAAGGAAATGGCAGAAATCACTGATATCACGGGTTTGTAGTTGATTTAATATTGTTATTTATGTCCTAAATTAAGGAAATGTTCTTGTTTTGGGGACTCGTAAGAAGGTATACCATGCAGTACCTTGTGTTCGGGAGGGGCAGAAGGAAAGGGGGTGGGGGGG